CAGAGTGTGAGGCAGCTAGATGCTCAAAAGTTAGAGAATAAGAGTCTGACAGCTTTATGTAACCGATAAAACAAAGCATCATGTGGTGAATTACTATTCCAGGAAAAACCATCTCGGCATCTACAACAAACACAAGTCCCAGTGGTTGCAGGTGACAGATCACCGTGCTGCACAAAAGTGGAGCAGCTTCATCTCCCACTCTTTCTGTAGACTGCTGTGGTGATGCTATCTGTATGTCTGTTTTTAGTGAGTGTCTGTCACTGCACCTGTGAGCAACCTCTCCACCAGGAGGTCTGGTACAGGAAATGTTTTGAACCACAAAAGACTTTAATCTGTACATGGCTGCAGTGAATGCTAGATGCTGATTGGCTGGAAGGTGTGCATTATTTTCAGGTAACCACACAGCTCTGATATCACATTCAAACTTATTCATTCTTCTGCATAGGATCAGTACTGTAATGTTAATGCCTGAATATAGCTGTGTTGTCCAAAGTTAACAATACTTATATTAAGAAGACAATACATACAGTGAGAAAAATAAAATGAGAGCACAAATGAATAACTCCATCTCTTGATTTAGTTAATTCATGCTCTCAAATGAATAATTGATAGACACAAATTAAAAGTATGGCCTCTTGAATTAATTAATAATGTGCACAAATTGCTAATTTGCTCTCTTGACTTACCTAACTAAGCCTCTCAAATAATAACTTTATTTATATGGAACCACAGACGATGACAAATTGTTGACAGTTGACAAATACAGGACTGAACTACATTATTGACACAATTGTTGATGACTCCTAGATTTCTAGCATGGAACTTAAAAGGTGCTGTGTCTGGAAATGTATCACTGAATACTAAAGTGTCAAATTAATGCATTAATAATTAGTGCCACGCCATCCCCTGGTATAGGCAGTAGAGGCGAATACTAAGGGCACCATCATCCATAGGTTGCACCACAAATAGGGGAAGAAAAAAAAAATCAAAATGTTTACCTTTTGCTATTTTTTACTAATAATTTTACTATTATTACTTTGAATTATTACATAAGGCCACAACACCACAACAACATAACTACATAGCAAAGACTACTAAATAATAGAGGCCTTTTTTTTCTGGGTTCCTGCTGCCCATCGGCGATTTATGACTTTACTCTTGTAAATTTACGATTTTATTCTTGTAGATTCTCGAAATCTAAGATATTTTTTTCTTTAACATGGCACTAGACCATGGATCAAGAGAGGAAAGGTGGGGAGCAACTGCTTATGCACAGGGCCCAGAATTTTGGGCTCCCCCCCATCAGTGTTTAGTTTGCACTGTATTAACATACATAGCTAACTTACAGCATTGATGAAATAACAGCCAATGTATGTGTTGATTGGACTAATAATCTAACAATATGTTATTGTTTTTTCATTACAAAAAACAAAAACAAAAAACAATTATTTCAAGAGCACAACTGAAGTCATGCACATGAATGAGTCATTTTTTCCTCCATGACATTTGTGGGGCTCTGAAGTAATGTCAGATGTTTTGTACGTTAAATATGAATGTGCAACGTGACCACTGATCCAGAGGGGTCAAAAGAACATACAATACAGTGTAGTGAAATAGAGATATAATGTGCACACAATGAAAACAGTAGCATCAGAATTCTACAGGTACTGAGTTACTTAAATATGGGTCACATAATCAGACAGGCCCACCAAACTTAAATGCCACACGCAAAAAAACTCATCCTATCAAAACAGTATACGCATCAAAGGATTCTAACAACATAGAGCAGTAGGTATAACAACTGAACATTACAGAGTATTATTATTATTATTATTATTACAGTAGTATCTGCCTGTTTTTGTCTTACAAAGAGAGCCACCATCATAAAACCCTTTACATGTGAGTGCAGATGGTGAGTGTGAGTTCATGACTTGATTGTAATTTGTAAATGTATAGTTGTTGTGAGGATGTAGTAGTATGCAGTTTTCACAGGCATGTACATGTACAGTTTGCAAACAGTCTCTTTCAAAATAAACAGTACGTCAGTAGGCAAGGCAAGGCAAGGCAAGTTTATTTGTAGAGCACAATTCGTACACAAAGTAATTCAAAGTGCTTTACAGAACAAGAAAATGCATTAAAATCACAATACAAAATAAAAACATAAATAATCATTATAAAATAAACTTTAAAAGAGAAGAGTGCAGATAAAATCCTTTCAGTCATATGCACAGTGAAATAGAGCTGTTTTGAGCCTAGATTTGAACATTGTCAGAGTAGAGGCCTGTCTCACATCTTCAGAAAGACTGTTCCAGATTTTAGCTGCATAAAACTGGAATCCTGATTCCCCATGTTTAGTCCTGACTCTGGGCACCAGCAAGAGGCCGGTCCCTGAGGTCCTCAGAGTCCGAGATGGTTCATATGGCACTAACATGTCAGAGATGTACTTTGGTGCTAGGCCATGGAGAGACTTGTACACAAGCAGAGCTGCTTTAAAGTCTATTCTCTGAGCCACAGGAAGCCAGTGTAGAGACCTGAGCACAGGACTTATGTGCTCGTACTTCCTGGTTCTGGTCAGGACCCGAGCAGCAGCATTCTGGATGTACTGCAGCTGTCTTACAGCCCGTTTGGAGAGGCCAGTGAGCAGGCCGTTACAGTAGTCTAACCTACTAGAGACAAATGCATGGATAAGTCTCTCCAAGTCAGGTTTAGACACTATACCTTTGATTTTGGCAATGTTTTTTAGATGGTAAAAAGCTGCTGATGTTATTGATTTGATGTGGCTGTTAAAGTTCAAGTCTGAGTCCATTATTACCCCGAGATTTCTAACCTGATTTGTAGGTTTTAGAGAGAGAGACTGGAGGTGACTGCTGACACTTTCTCTTTGTTTCTGTGGACCAAATACGATGACTTCAGTCTTGTCTGACTTTAGTTGGAGAAAGTTGTTTTGCATCCACACACTGACCTGTTGGATGCAGTGACAAAGTGAATCCACTGGTCCATATTCACCTGCTGTCAGTGAGACATAGATCTGAGTGTCGTCTGCATAATTGTGGTAGGACACATTATTACTTTGTATTAACTGGCCTAAAGGCAGCATGCAGAGATTGAACAGAAGGGGTCCCAGGATTGACCCTTGGGGCACCCCACAGGTCAAGGCCATGTGGTCTGAGACACAGTTACCAATTTCAACAAAGTACTTCCTGTCTTCTAGATAGGACTTCAGCCAATTTAGGGCAGTGCCAGAGATGCCCACCCAGTCCTCTAGTCTCTGTGAAAGGATCTCATGATCGACAGTGTCAAAAGCAGCACTCAGATCTAGCAGGACTAAAACTGAGACTTTGCCTGCGTCAGTGTTCAGGCGGATGTCATTTGTCACCTTAATAAGAGCGGTCTCAGTGCTGTGATGGGGTCTAAAACCTGACTGGAAAACAACACCGTGAAATTGTTTTTTTCCTTCAACAACAAACGCACATGGTTACATTTGGCCAACGCATGCATGTGGTTGGGATAGGTAAAAAGAACAGGGTCTGGCTTTACAATCTTATGGGAAGCAAACACTGGCCTCCTGGGTGAAAGGTCAGTGGTTGTTGGACCCATTCACCACTCCTTCCATCTGCCCTACTCAGACATCCTTAAATTCCATTGTTGTCCCGCTGTGTTTCCCCTTATTGTTTAATGGCGCCTGGCCACATCAGGGGGAAACACAGTGTATCATGCAGATGTGAGAGGACGGCTTTCTTCGTCGGTGTTTGACACTAGAAATCACTGACCAAGCGCTGGATTTCGACAACTTTGGAGTGAGACCTGGTTGGTCTTTACTCCTCTATGACAGTGAATGGAATATCTTTGGGTTATAGACAAAAAGACATTCAAGGATGTCATCTTGAGCTTTAAGGAAACCGGATCAAAATTTTTCACCATTTTCCGACATTCTATAGACCAAACTCCAAATCGATTAATCAACAAAATAATAATCAGATTAATCGACAATGAAAATAATCATTAGTTGCAGCCCTTGATGTTACTGTAAATGCCTGTTAATAGTTGTTTTGTTCAAACTGGAGCAGCAAGAATAAAACAAAAACAAAGCACTGTTCTCGTAAATTTAGCATAGACATGTTTTTTTGCTTTAAAAATTGAATACACATTGTAATGGCTGTAGAATAATGACATCATCTGTGGTTAAACTGGTTCCCTATATGCCTCTCCTTCATTTTCCAATTCTGTCTATTATTATGATCTCCCAGGAAAAATTAAGGCTCCATTAAGGGCACAAAGGAAGCGCATCAATCACTGAGCAAGAGCATCTGTATGTTAGAAAGCAAACATCCTTGTGTAATAGGTATGCTGTCTATTGCATTACAAGTTTGTTTGCTTTATCAAGCACATATGGGAAAAGTTGTCCTTCAAGGCTTTCTGCCAGAAAGTCCTTCCTGGCAGAAATCTATTAATTTTAACCCAAACCATAATTTTTTTCCCTGACTTTTAAAGAAATCCCTTTCTGACCGACAGAAAGCCCTGAAGAAAGGGTGTCTTTGCTGCTGCTCACCCTGCCTTAGGCTTCTTTATGTAGGTGCATGGAAGGGCAGGGAGGTTAGCTCTCTCTGCCTCAGGCTTTACTCATTTTTTTCACATGGAGGGCAGAGGTGTGCTCTCTCTGCCTTAAGGCTTTCCATGTACTGTAGGCATGTGGAAGAGGCTTTCTGCATAGGCCAGAGGAAAGGCAGGGGGTCCCCAGAACAGAGCCATACCGCCAAATATAATACTGCAAATGGAAATAATGTTTTCTTTGACTAAAGTGTTCCTGACTGAAATATGAATGTTGCACTTTGGAAAATTATTTGTATTTCTAAATGCATCTTGTATGCAGTAAAAAAATGCTTGTAAAACAGCATGTCATGGATGTGTTCTTTTTCTTCCAGAAATAATAAAAAGAGAGAAAAGTTTATAACACAACCTGGAAGGCCCGTGAAGTATTAATGTCTCTCCTGTTGTTGCAGAGATGCCAGAGACGCCCGGTGAGAGTGTTAGATGTGAGCAAGCTCAACCACAATGTGACAACAAGATTAAACAGCTAGAGGAGCAACACCATCCTCTTCCTCCTCCTCAGACCAATGATGCCTCAGGAAGTCAAGTATGCAAAAATCACATCATACAGCCATACAACAAACTTCATCACTTTGTCAACACAGAATACACATGAAGTATTTTCCTGTCTTCAAGGTCGTGCTGTCATATCATTATATAGTATATGATTAATTCTATTAATTAAAATTGACTAAACTATTACTCAGCATTTTGATGTTGTGGCTGGTCTCTGTACAGTTGCAGTAATTCTAATGCTAATGCTCTACAGCACAAACTCCAACCTCGTCACATATTAGTGTTTGGTCATGGACTTTACATGATGTCACAACTTCAGCCTGTTACATGCATTGTCAGTTTTCAAAATATACTTCTGTTATTGCAGGAAATGTACAGTTTACATACAGTCTCTTTAAAAATAAACACACTATGTAGGTACAACACCAAAATGTACCTTTTTTTTCCTTCAACAATAAACAAGCATGTGGTTAAGTTTTGCCAGCACACGCACATGGTTGACTTAGTGATAGAAGTCATTGTAGCATGTATATCATTGTTTGGCCTACAATGTAGTGTTTTTAATATGCAGTTAGCCTCCTTAGACAAGTCTTGCTGTGTTTAAATACTTATGGCCCATAGAATAATGAATAGATGGAAACAAGCGCCCTTCTTGCTGGAGGACCCAATAAGTCTCATTATGGCAGCAGATACCAACACATCAGTGGGCTGGATGGAGGAGATATGCTGAATAAAATCAGGTGGCTAATAAACTGCTTTTGTAGTTGAAAAAAAAAAAAAATCATCAAAAGATAATGCGTCAATACTCCACAACAACGGCAGAGTCTTTTCCCCCTTTAAGTAGTCCTGTAATGTTATCCCCTCCACTCGTAGTCTCCATATTTCTCAGCTCAGCTGTCTGTTCCATCCGTAGAGACTGACCTCTGGTGGAGTGTGCTGAGCACAATGATACCTTGCCCTAATATAGCATTTCTGTATCAATTTAATAGAAAGAGGAGCATCTCTATTTTCAACACTGTCTCACTCTGACCTTGTAACATATTGACGTTTGGTCATGGACTTTCCACATCCAGATACAAGGTGCAAGGTACCCTGGGTGCGTTGGTTGTTGACGTTCTGGGACACCATGTCAACTTCAGCCTGTTACATGAAAATACACTTCTGTTTTCACAGAAAATGTACCATTTGCATATAGTCTCTTTCAAAATAAATGCACTACGTTTTATAGCACCGTACCTTTATCAATAAATGCACGTGGTTACGTTTAGCTAACACACGTAAGTAGTTGGGTTTAGGCAACAAAAGCACATGGTTGGCTTCTCACAGGAAGCAAACACCGGCCTCCTGAGTCCTGGGTGAAATTTGGTGGTTGTTGAACCCATCCACCACCCCTCTCACCTGGCCTAGTTGGACTTCTGCCGCCTAAATTTTTGCTGTTGAGCCACTGTGTATCCCCCTGGGTTTCCTCCCGTACGCCATTAAACAATACAGGCAACTGGCCGTGTATCATGCTGAGTGGACAAGATGACACATTTTTGAGAATGAAACATGGGCAAAAAGGGAAGGAATAGGCAGCCTTACATGGCAACTTTAGGGGATGAAACCATGCTTGCCCCACCTGACCATCAGGTGGTATTCATCAGGCTAAAATTATTCATTTATGACAAGCCAAGCCAAGAGAGTTTGTTACCGATAAAAATACCATTATTTACTAATAATATTCTTTTTTTTCATGTTGTTTGAATCAATTAATGTCAATTTGTCACAAAAATCCACATGCTGTAGTTGACATTGGTGTTTTTTTTTCCTTCCAGTGTTGCAGCAGTATGGAAGGCATTAGGCAGAAGCAGCAGAGACCATCAGTGCTCTGCCAGGTGTCTCAAACAGCTTCCAGACGACAACACAGTATGCAGACACACATAGCTCCACACCACACCAGCAAGATTATCATTTTAAATGACAATCATTTTATGTGTGCTGACATTTTTTTAGTATGCGTCATTCTGTTATTCTGTTCTGTCTTCTAATGTGCACAAACAGTGTTAGCCTTGATATAAAATATACAACTGGGCTGTTGAGAAACAGCCATTCTGGCACTGGTGCTTGATGTTATTTGCTTAACTGAATGAATAAGCTGAATTAGGATTTTTCTCAGCATCGACAGGGACAGTATTTTTTGTTGCATGTATTTCCAAAAGATCAATGCTTTCTTCCCCTAGCGCATCCAAAAAGCAGTGCACCTGTCTCCATTTGCAAGGAAGAGGTAGATGCTAGCTGTCTTCCTGAGTCATCTTCATCACACATAGGCTTCTCTCCCAGGCAAAATCATCACTTCCTCCCTTTAAGGAGACACAGTCCAAAGCAGAGCTCCACTGAGGCCACGCCTAATGATGGGTGACTATCTGACATTAACACTGAATTACAAATGCAAATGACTATCATAACATAGCAAGATCAGTTGCCATCTAATTCACTGGTTCCCAACTGGTGGGTAGCTGTCCAAAAGTGGGTCGCGGGTTCATTCTGAATGGACCACAAGTGATTTGCGAATGTGTCAAGATTGTAAAAAAACACTGTTTATTTTGAAGTAAAGTGAATTTCTGCATGGAGCTTTTATTTTGAAGTGCTGTTTCCTGCTGTAGAGTGAGTGGATAACTAACAGCCACTTAACAGAGACAGCAAACTAGCTTGATGACATAGCCAAATGCAAGTATGATGCTATTGACGATATTAAACTGTGTGGACCTTAAACTAATGACTATGGAGAAATCTGGACCCCGTGGCTGGACCAGATGGGAACCACTGATCTAACTGATGGGTTGGCTTAAAAAATGTTATATTTTTATCATATATGATAAAGTTTCCTTGTTAACCAGCAGGACAGTTTACATGTGTGTTATGGACTTGGAAAAAGTTTATGAAAAGGTCTGCTAAGGTATCTGGTAGACAAGGGGGGAATGGTAGAGTATGAGAACAGGGCAGCTACTACAGTACAAGCCATTCAGTCCTTGGAGCAAGAGCAATGGCAGCAATCTCATCAGGAAGTCAAACACTAATCACAGTGGATATTGGACCACATCAAGCTTATATCTTGTCAGTGATTCTTTTTGTCATTTTCATGGACAGATTCTCAAGATGCAGCAGAGATGTGTGTCCACTTCAGTGACCTTAGGATTGGGGTGGTTCTTTGGCACTAGGGTAATGGAGATGTGTGCCAGCAACTGCTGGAAAATGGTGTTTTGTCACTGCCCCCAAGTGAAGCAGTTCAAGTGTCTAGCAGTTAAAGTATCTCGGGGTCTTGTTCATTAGTGATTAATTAAATGTTAGGTTGACAGGTAGATTGGTACTCCAGACTGGACAACATACTGTATAAAACGTGCGTATCTCCAGAGGGCACTTCGAGGAGGTTTGCTGATTAATGGCCATACTGGCAAACAGGCTTCTTTCAGTCAGATTCAGAATACTTTATTAGTCCCAACAGGACAATTCATTTCTACAGTCGACCTGTCCATAGCAGTCGAAAGGAACAGTGGTTCTGCTCCAGCGTCCTGACCTTGACCCTACAGCTAAAAGTGCCTTCCAAAATCCTAACAAATATCCAACACAAATATGACACCTATTGTACGACTTCAATTAAAAGCTTAATCCCAATTAAACCCCCAGGCTCTTTTACTAGCCCGGTGTGGCTACACATTCTGACAAATAAAGGCCAGTTTCAATTAAACACCTGGTCTGGTTGCCAAGCAGTTCATTTTTATAGAAGTTCTTTGGATGTAAAAAACCGGATTGTTAACTACCCACTTGAGCTAATGTTAGTTAGGTGTTTAGATCACACATACAAATAGAAATGTTTAAATTAGCCTGTAAGTTATTCATATTCCTTTAGTCCGTAAGGGTCCACTGATCAAAACAATCAAAAGAGTTTTTCATAAGAATTAATCCAAGTTATGAATTTTATGTTAAAAGTATAAAGTGGTGTTGTGTTGGTGTGCTGGGTGCTGTAGTCCTCGAGTCCCATGAAATGAGTATCCTAACGTAGCACATAATTGATATATTACTCAAAGCCTAATTTTTATACAAATAATATTCAACTGGTTTAAATAAACAATTTGATCGTATATCCTATCTTTGCTTAGCAACGGTTTTGTGTGCAAGGAATTAGAGGCCTGTTTCATATACATGCCCAAATATATCCCAAATATAATAATGTCCTGAATATAAGCCTGTTGGGTTCAGTGATATAAGCAAATAATAGCCCGGGATACTGGAATTTTACAGTATGACCATTTTCTGATCTGCCATCTCTATGCTAATTCTTGTAATGTTCAGTTAAGTTCAGCTCTATTGTCCCATTTGGAGAAATCAGGTTTGCAGCCATGATAAACCAAGCAGTCGACAACCACATCACAATACAACAATACAAATCTTGACACAAAACAGTCATTACTCTCACAACCACAAGTTTCTTGTCAGAAAAACTTAATAGGTAATTTTAGGTGTTTAAAAAAAAAAAATAGAAAAAATGTGGGGGTGAAAACAGATACTCATGCTGGCTCCATAACAACAAACTCATTCTTTCAGCTACAACCTAATGCTCCAGTCAATAGGGTAAGGCAATTGAGATTGAGCAATACATTAAGAGGTTGTTTTACCTGGCCTGGCAGTTGGGTAAAAGAACAAAACAAGGAAATACTTCAAGTTTATTTGCTCTCAGCTTGGGGCGGCAAAGCACTATTTTCCAGCAGAGTGTCACGGTTTCAAAAGTAACCTTTAGTTCACAAATTGTGAATTTGTTCTCTTATGCCTCTGCTGCCTGGTTGAAAAACACTAATATAGCCTATACAAAGCTTGTATCTTTTTGTTTTTCAAATTATGACTGCTAATAAAGTGCTCCAAGGATGGCGTTTTTCTGTAGGCCCACACGGAAGTTATCTTCGCCCTGGTTTCAGCGTCAAAAAGCCTGTGGGATTTTGCCACTGGATTTTGGGTTATTGTAGAAAATAAGTAAGACCATCTTGATGATGTGAGCTCCACGTTCTCCAATCCAATCCAAGCCAATCAGTGTACATCTTCCTTATCACCAATGGAGCCAGTTGATAAATCAAGCTTTTGCCAAATCTAGCTGAAAGAACGGTGAAAACTTGTATTCCTCTGAGAATCTCTGTGAGTGCATGCACTTGTTCTTGTTTAATTGACTCTTTTTCTGCAATAACTTCACTTTTTGCTGTGTTTTTACTAGTGAGCAGGAGCTGCCATTACTTTTCTGCAAGTTGCAGCCTCCATTTTATGTCATCAACTACAATGTCATCCCTGATTGGCCCCAATTGTAATTTTATTTCCAGAAACTGTTTGTGGTGGCAGTGAGTCCAGACTAATATAGAAAGAGCACATTTTGTTCAGGAAGATGATCTTCACAAATGAACACCTCTTTTATGATTTTTGAAGCCTAAATGCAATCGCCAGAAGTAAAAACTTAATGTTAGGCTATAAATGAACTACACCACAGTCGCATAACTTAATGTCACCACCACAATGAAGCTGTAAAGCCATTTAGCTACTTGTCAATTGCCTTTTTAAAGACACATAAAAGCTTCAAAATTCACATTGGGGCATTTACTTGAGTAAATGTGAACGTCTCTTAAGCTTGTGTTAAAGGACCAGTGTGTAATATTTGGCATGGTTTATTGTCAAATCTGAATCTGAATCTGAATATTCTACCCATTAATATGTTTATATAAATGTATAACCGCTATAAAATAAAATTCGTTTGGTTTTCGTAGCCTTATAATTATGCTTTTATATATATATAAATATATATATATATATATATATATATATATATATACATACATACAGTACAGGCCAAAAGTTTGGACACACCTTCTCATTCAATGCGTTTTCTTTATTTTCATGACTATTTACATTGTAGATTCTCACTGAAGGCATCAAAACTATGAATGAACACATGTGGAGTTATGTACTTAACAAAAAAAGGTGAAATAACTGAAAACATGTTTTATATTCTAGTTTCTTCAAAATAGCCACCCTTTGCTCTGATTACTGCTTTGCACACTCTTGGCATTCTCTCCATGAGCTTCAAGAGGTAGTCACCTGAAATGGTTTCCACTTCACAGGTGTGCCTTATCAGGGTTAATTAGTGGAATTTCTTGCTTTATCAATGGGGTTGGGACCATCAGTTGTGTTGTGCAGAAGTCAGGTTAATACACAGCCGACAGCCCTATTGGACAACTGTTAAAATTCATATTATGGCAAGAACCAATCAGCTAACTAAAGAAAAACGAGTGGCCATCATTACTTTAAGAAATGAAGGTCAGTCAGTCCGGAAAATTGCAAAAACTTTAAATGTGTCCCCAAGTGGAGTCGCAAAAACCATCAAGCGCTACAACGAAACTGGCACACATGAGGACCGACCCAGGAAAGGAAGACCAAGAGTCACCTCTGCTTCTGAGGATAAGTTCATCCGAGTCACCAGCCTCAGAAATCGCAAGTTAACAGCAGCTCAGATCAGAGACCAGATGAATGCCACACAGAGTTCTAGCAGCAGACCCATCTCTAGAACAACTGTTAAGAGGAGACTGCGCCAATCAGGCCTTCATGGTCAAATAGCTGCTAGGAAACCACTGCTAAGGAGAGGCAACAAGCAGAAGAGATTTGTTTGGGCCAAGAAACACAAGGAATGGACATTAGACCAGTGGAAATCTGTGCTTTGGTCTGATGAGTCCAAATTTGAGATCTTTGGTTCCAACCGCCGTGTCTTTGTGAGATGCAGAAAAGGTGAACGGATGGATTCCACATGCCTGGTTCCCACTGTGAAGCATGGAGGAGGAGGTGTGATGGTGTGGGGGTGTTTTGCTGGTGACACTGTTGGGGATTTATTCAAAATTGAAGGCACACTGAACCAGCATGGCTACCACAGCATCCTGCAGCGACATGCCATCCCATCCGGTTTGCGTTTAGTTGGACGATCATTTATTTTTCAACAGGACAATGACCCCAAACACACCTCCAGGCTGTGTAAGGGCTATTTGACCAAGAAGGAGAGTGATGGAGTGCTGCGGCAGATGACCTGGCCTCCACAGTCACTGGACCTGAACCCAATCGAGATGGTTTGGGGTGAGCTGGACCGCAGAGTGAAGGCAAAGGGGCCAACAAGTGCTAAACACCTCTGGGAACTCCTTCAAGACTGTTGGAAAACCATTTCAGGTGACTACCTCTTGAAGCTCATGGAGAGAATGCCAAGAGTGTGCAAAGCAGTAATCAGAGCAAAGGGTGGCTATTTTGAAGAAACTAGAATATAAAACATGTTTTCAGTTATTTCACCTTTTTTTGTTAAGTACATAACTCCACATGTGTTCATTCATAATTTTGATGCCTTCAGTGAGAATCTACAATGTAAATAGTCATGAAAATAAAGAAAACGCATTGAATGAGAAGGTGTGTCCAAACTTTTGGCCTGTACTGTATATATATATATAGCAAGGGCCTTGCTTTAGAGAGGTCGCCATCTTGCGCCGTCATGTATGTAAGGCAGTCCGAGCGGACAGTCCAGCCAGCCAGAGAACGCGTTTCGCGTGTATAAATAAACCAACGAAGACAGCGGAAGGAAGGAAAGAGGAAGAGGAAACAGCAGAGAGTGTTAGTAGTTCGTCGATAGAGAGTAGTGAAAGGTTTTTTTAGTTATAAAGTTTGCGAATGGACCACACTTACCACGCAACAGGAGAGAATGAACCCGAACCGTCATCTGCGAGGAAAAGAAAACGCAACTTCACTCCTTGTGATGCACTCTCTGCGGCGCTTTTCCTCCTGGTGATATCTCCCCAACGATGGCAGCACCGAATCCCATTCTGTGCAGCAAAATGGGAACGGAGGATTCAGCCTCTCTTCTCGCCCACTCAACATCCAAGTTCCTCATCTGTATGCTCCAGCTCAAACAGGTATGGCTCTGGGTCTGTGTCCGCTACAAGAAACTCTTCAAAATCGCGTTCAAAGTCGTCCATTGCAGCTACTATAGTCCGGAGATATTGCTAGGCTAAATAAACAGCTGAGCTCTGTTTACAGGCTATGCTGTCAGTCAGTGTGCGGGCTGGAGATTGGTGGAGCAGAGAGGGGAGGGGGTACCCGCTAGGTAATGTAAACGAGTATGTGTGTATGAACTGTGTGTGTTACGCTAGAAGAGTCAGAGTTTGGGACGGAGTCTTTTACCCCCTGGAGTGTTACCGGAGTTTCTGGAGTGCTCAAATAAACGGGCCTTTTTCCCGAACGCTCCTCTGGTCTCCTGCTCATAAGGGATTCATTACAATATCGTAACATGGCTTAGATTTCTAAATAAACATTTACCTCGTCGCTAGATAGACCTACTCCTGAAAAACTCGTGTCTGCGCAAGGCTTTTTGTCCCTACGAGGCCACCGTCATTTACCCGACGGGAGGGGTGAGCGAGTGAGCCCTGCAATCTAGAATTTGACACCTGATGTCACTGTTTACAACCAATTTTACACACTGGCCCTTTAAATACAGACCTTATTTCAGGCATCAAACCAAAAACCCACTGACTTTGAGAACCTGGAGTGCAAAAATGTTAACTCATTCATGGGTTTAAGGACTAATTTCCTTTGCTGCAGAGGGTAAACATGTGGCAGCCATAAACAAGGAGCTTTTTTTTTATTGTTGTACAAATATCTTTCACCTTTTGGCTCACCTCTTTCTCCAAAGGTATTCCCTTGTGCCACACTTTAAGTCAGAAAGTACTACAGTTAAATGACTGGTACATGACATCACTGAAACATTTCTCATTCTGCCAGCATTCCTGAGGGGACCAGTGCTCTATTTGTGAGTGGCCTCTGCCGCTGGCCTGGCTGTGATGTGGTATCTGAAGATTTCCCTAGTTTCTTAAAGTAAGTAGACTGCTGAATACTTAATTCATGGAATCACTTGTCTGTCAGGAGGAACGGATTACTGAGGAATCAGTTTTAATTGATATCAGTAATGCAATGTAACAGTAACCTTACAAGCATTATTTGCTTTTTCAAAAGAACTATTTCATATGGAATGCTGTTCATGTTAACATGTAAAAATATAACGTTCATTTGATGCTTTAAGACTACAGAAAATGCCCTGCTCAGAAGTAAATTTCTGACGTCTTAAGTTTAATATTGGGTGCAACCATTTCATCAGTTTAGGAGGGGAAACTGATGAAATAGTATTCAGTATACATTGTATTTGCACAAGATGGCAGTCCACTAGATGGCAGAATTAAATTAGACCGCATTGGGCATAGTGTTAAATCATCTATTCTGAGTGTGTTACTGATTTGCCTTCATTCCTTAAAGGGATAGTGCACCCAAAAATGAAAATTCAGCCATTATCTACTCACCCATATGCCGAGGGAGGATCAGGTTTTAGAGTCCTCACATCCCTTGCGGAGATCCCAGGGGAGAGGGGGTAGCAACACAGCTCCTCCTAATGCAAGCTGACGGCGCCCCAGATTCAACTCTCTGTTTTTAGCCTCATTGTAGCCTGTAGCTCTAACTGCCTCTGTGTACACCGCACTCACGTGTGCGCGCTTGCGCGAGACCGTGAGACATGGGCACTGCATTCATGTGTGTTCACGTGCTTTCGCTGGTGTCGTGCACAAGCACACACACGTGAACTCAGTGCCCAGAGAGGCAGTTAGAGCTACAGGCTACAATGAGGCTAAAAACAGAGTTCAAATGATGTTTTTCCAAGTAACTTTTTATGTTGGAGCTTCAGGACACTTGGATCACTACAGACGAGCAGTATGGAGATATTTTGTGGTTTCAGTTATGTGTTTTTGGACGTTTGAATCTGGGGCGCTGTCAGCCTCCATTAGGTGGAGTTGTGTTGCTACCTCCTCTCCCCTTGGATCTCTGCAAGTGATGTGAGGACTCTAAAACTTCACCTTGGCATATGGGTGAGTAGATAATGGCTGAGTAGATAATGGCTGAATTTTCATTTTTGGGTACACTATCCCTTTTATATCATATAAAATAATGCCTAAAGTTATTTGATTTGCTACTACTTCATATTACTGATATTGCTGAGGTCTGCCGAATTCAGCATCAAGTTTCACCAGGTGGAACTCTGATTTAATAAGTCAGCAATGATAAAAATGTGTAAACTGTGTCATTAAGGCTGACGAGCAGAGCATTAGCTGGTGAACATCACGTTTATTCACTTTACATGGAACTAAAATTAATACAGAATTAGCCAATTGTTTGCTTCATGTGTTATTGTCTGCTCATGAGTCATGAGAAATCATAAAACATCTTTCAGAATGAGTTTGGGCTCTGTTAAATTAAACAATATACTAACAGAGAAAGGCAAGCTAACCACTAACGTGCCTGCTTAAAAAGGAAAACAACAAATGCTTTGAGATGGCTCACAGAAATGACAGAGGTATGATCACAATACTGTCTGTGGTCTAACAGGTGGTGTGTTCCACATGTTTTATTTCCCAATGGCTCTAGAAAGGAGGATTAGCATATTTTTTTTGATTGATTGATTATTTTTATTTACGTGTCATGCACAAAGTGCCCAACCCTCATGGGTTTATAAGACACCAAAAAGAAAGAACAGTTGCAGTGTACATTATTATTATTATTTTTTCATTTCATACATAATTACAGCCCCTTTTACGGCTCAGACTTTAAACAGAATATTCTGCCTTCTCTCCCACGCTTTACAAATAAAATCTGCAACAAAAAAGGTTCCCTTTCTAAAACACAACTCAAGTTTCTCATACTCGTCCAGCCAAAAGAAATCAGCATAAATAGAGGACATTTTAATAATTTTAATTTTAAGGCATATACAGTACAGGCCAAAAGTTTGGACACACCTTCTCATTCAATGCGTTTTCTTTATTTTCATGACTATTTACATTGTAGATTCTCACTGAAGGCATCAAAACTATGAATGAACACATGTGGAGTTATGTACTTAACAAAAAAAGGTGAAATAACTGAAAACATGTTTTATATTCTAGTTTCTTCAAAATAGCCACCCTTTGCTCTGATTACTGCTTTGCACACTCTTGGCATTCTCTCCATGAGCTTCAAGAGGTAGTCACCTGAAATGGTTTTCCAACAGTCTTGAAGGAGTTCCCAGAGGTGTTTAGCACTTGTTGGCCCCTTTGCCTTCACTCTGCGGTCCAGCTCACCCCAAACCATCTCGATTGGGTTCAGGTCCGGTGACTGTGGAGGCCAGGTCATCTGCCGCAGCACTCCATCACTCTCCTTCTTGGTCAAATAGCCCTTACACAGCCTGGAGGTGTGTTTGGGGTCATTGTCCTGTTGAAAAATAAATGATCGTCCAACTAAACGCAAACCGGATGGGATGGCATGTCGCTGCAGGATGCTGTGGTAGCCATGCTGGTTCAGTGTGCCTTCAATTTTGAATAAATCCCCAACAGTGTCACCAGCAAAACACCCCCACACCATCACACCTCCTCCTCCATGCTTCACAGTGGGAACCAGGCATGTGGAATCCATCCGTTCACCTTTTCTGCGTCTCACAAAGACACGGCGGTTGGAACCAAAGATCTCAAATTTGGACTCATCAGACCAAAGCACAGATTTCCACTGGTCTAATGTCCATTCCTTGTGTTTCTTGGCCCAAACAAATCTCTTCTGCTTGTTGCCTCTCCTTAGCAGTGGTTTCCTAGCAGCTATTTGACCATGAAGGCCTGATTGGCGCAGTCTCCTCTTAACAGTTGTTCTAGAGATGGGTCTGCTGCTAGAACTCTGTGTGGCATTCATCTGGTCTCTGATCTGAGCTGCTGTTAACTTGCGATTTCTGAGGCTGGTGACTCGGATGAACTTATCCTCAGAAGCAGAGGTGACTCTTGGTCTTCCTTTCCTGGGTCGGTCCTCATGTGTGCCAGTTTCGTTGTAGCGCTTGATGGTTTTTGCGACTCCACTTGGGGACACATTTAAAGTTTTTGCAATTTTCCGGACTGACTGACCTTCATTTCTTAAAGTAATGATGGCCACTCGTTTTTCTTTAGTTAGCTGATTGGTTCTTGCCATAATATGAATTTTAACAGTTGTCCAATAGGGCTGTCGGCTGTGTATTAACCTGACTTCTGCACAACACAACTGATGGTCCCAACCCCATTGATAAAGCAAGAAATTCCACTAATTAACCCTGATAAGGCACACCTGTGAAGTGGAAACCATTTCAGGTGACTACCTCTTGAAGCTCATGGAGAGAATGCCAAGAGTGTGCAAAGCAGTAATCAGAGCAAAGGGTGGCTATTTTGAAGAAACTAGAATATAAAACATGTTTTCAGTTATTTCACCTTTTTTTGTTAAGTACATAACTCCACATGTGTTCATTCATAGTTTTGATGCCTTCAGTGAGAATCTACAATGTAAATAGTCATGAAAATAAAGAAAACGCATTGAATGAGAAGGTGTGTCCAAACTTTTGGCCTGTACTGTATGCCACACCTATAATTCACGCAAGGTATCATGGGGGCTTTAAGGTGGATACAAAGTAAAACACCATGTTTGTGTTTAAAAATTAATTCCATATAATTTATACTGGATGAAAACACACATAGGCTGTGCACAATATACACTGTCTGTTACTCAACCACTGACCCAGTAATAACCACATAAACACCTTTAAAACAATCAAATCCATGGGATTTATTAGAATGAAAACAAGCAGATAAGACAACAAAAATCCCACGGTGAGAGGCAGCAGAACCAGCAGGCCTCTCTCCTCTGCTGCTGCACAGGAGCTCTTAAAGCAACACAGTGGAGGATTGTGCTTTTTACCTCACGGGGTCCCCATACCGACGAAAAACGGTATTGTCTGTTACAGCTGTTGCAAAAATCTTTCTGCATTTGTTGACAAGCCAACGATACCGGTGAACTTCCTGAGGCTGGGCGTGTAATGCACGATCATCATGTCTTCAGAACAGGTACATGATTAGGCCGATTGCTTTATTTATTTATTCATTTTCGAAACTCAGAAATGAGTTGCTCTCTGTATGTCAGGGCTGACCTTCTCCTCACACCTTCACCTTCTTCCTTTTCTTTGTCGCTTCAGCCATGACAACCACATCTCACTTTGTTCACTTCGGTTCGACTACGCTACCCTAAAGAGAGGAGGGGGATATGACATGCCATAAAGCAGTAAAATTTTGTAGTCCTTTTTGTGTCCGGGTTCCTACCCGAACCCCGAAACTGCATAGTGCCAGTGCAAGCGAAAAAGACGCTCTCAAGCAATGACGGAGGTGTTATCCAACCTATTGTGAGTTGATGTACAATCACAAGGATTTTGGATATTTTGAGGGCTCAAAAATGCCATTGTGTTGCTTTAAGCACCTCCTCCATACCAGGTGCTCTGTACCCCGTTGACTAATGCAGCACACCTGGGCAGATCTACAAGGGAGGGAAAAGGAACAGCAGCACAAAACACATACACACCCCCACCCTTAAAACAATGAATAAATGGGTTGTCATACTATCATCTCACATGCAAGTACTGGGGCAATTAAAGCTTAACACAACACTAATACAGTACCCCATAGTTCAGTGACAAATGCTATTTATTCATTGAAATGTAACTAAGCTGCTGCCACCGAGTTCAAGAATAAGCAGCAGCTGCACAAGTAGCCAAATCAGTGGGTGCCACTCCCACCAGGTGCAAAAAGGCTACGATCATGAGGTGAAAAGAAACCCAAAGCCAAACAAAGTTACTGCATTACCAACACCAAAAACAGTAACACAGGTGACCAACACAAAAATGGAGTGCAACAGCCACATACCAAAAGGATCACAACATGTAGACCAGCTACAAAGTTGCTGCCATACCAACAGCAACACAAAGATCCAGCAAAAATGAACTGCCACTACCACAACACAAA